TGCGAACTCCACAGATTCTGCAAAAATAATCACCTATGTTAAGATCAAGAATTGAATTTGCTCTTGCTTAATATAATATAAGTATATCTTCAATTCCTTCTATTTATTCTTTAGTGTAGTTTGTTCATTATTCAACTAATCACTATATTAGGTTTATGCTTTATCATGTATCTCAGATGAATACAAAAGTATATAGATACAATACCAAATTTCTAACATGTTCACTAGTGGTGTCTATAAATAATTAATACAATCATAGAAGAGTGGAGCCTAAGCTTAGCTAGTTGTGATGTATGGAAAAGGGAAGACCACATTTAAACCGATATAGGCTACAAGCAATCCACTGATGAAGTGCCAGGGTAGGAGGTTGTGAGCATGACGGCGAGTTAACCACGCATGGATAGAAGTGAAGTGTGACGATCGAATGGGAAGTCTATAACCTGTTATAGATTTTGTCGACTCTATAGTTTGGAGAGTTCGCATTTTGCTTACAGCTACAGTGCTTTTTAGTGTTCCAGGCTCTATGTCATTTTTGGGCAATGGCTCCTTACTATCATGTTTTTCTTCTTTTCATTTTATTTATAAATTTTGTTGGGATTTAAGGTTTAGGTTTTTTTTATTTTTTTTACATTTTGCTCTATTCAGCATTAGTGGCTTTAGGTCCCCTTAAGGACTTGTATCCATTTTTTTAATCAACGTGCAGACCCCCAATGAATGTTAACAAAAAAAAATCATGTCATCTTCTCGAAGAGATGTTGTAAGCAAGTGTTATGAAAATATTTTATAACACTAACTTCAATTCAGTATTTATGATCATTCTTTTTATGCAAATTTATAAATTTTATCTAAATATATAACATAGATGAACAATAATTTATATTAAATATATAAATATATAACATTGATTAATTTTTATTTTTTTATCCACTGATCTAATAGGATCATTATATAATTATTCTAATACTATTACATTTTTTATTTTTTATTTAAATAATGTTAAGGTTCAACCCCCATCATACTATTGAACCTTGAGCCTCTCCTTTTTTCAGTTCAATGTCCTGGCAGGTTATCACAACCATGATTCTAACTAGTCAACGCCATCAATGAGTTCTATTGAGCGGTACTTAACATCTCTCATGAATGACCTGTAAATGGCTTGCTTGCAATATGTGTAGCCCACATGAGAACAATTATTAGGTCCTCCGACCGGACGTAGATCTTTGTCCGGTCATCGCTGAGTTACTCGATTTTTACTCGGTATTTGCTCGGTATTGCTGGGTATTATTTCATAATAACGAGGAATACCGCTCTGTGAAGACCAATACCGAGTAATACTAAGCTATACCGAGCAATACCGAGTTATACAAAAAATATCGAGTTTTTCTTCTAGAAAAACTCGATATTTTTTGTATAACTCGGTATAGCTCGGTATTACTCGGTATTTTGTCTTCACATGATGATATTTCTCGTTATTGTTTAGTATTGCTCGGTATTTCTCTTTTTTTTATCACGATTTTAGTGACAACCGAATGTACCTCTACGTACGTTCACCGGACCTAATAATTGTTCCATGAGTTTAAAGCCTAGCACATTATGGTACATGTATAAGTTTAAGATTAAATTTTTTGAATATCTAAATAAAAATGAACGAAATAATTTATTGAAATAAATTAATTATTTGATCCATTTCTATTTATTAAATTTTTATTTTGGGATTTGCTTTTAAGTCTTATTTTTTTATAAATTAAATAAAACTCAAGTATTATTGAAGCATCATAAGAAAATTCACTTGATTAAACGTAAATCTATATCAATTATTTGAATTGAAACTTGCTTAAGAAAACTCAGGATCAATTGAACTATGATTTTACAACATTTATAGTCTAAGTGAAGTTTTGAAGGGATGAATCTAATGATACCAAAATGATTTGATTCGACTTCAAATGAGCCAAAACCAAGCATCTAAAGCATAATTACAAACTTCATTACATTAATTTGAGGATCAACTTATCTCAAAATTTTGAATGCTTAGAGCTAAAATGGCATTTTGATAAGAAAAATCCAACATGCCCATTATCACATACTTCAAAGGTCATTAAAGTGCTTAAATATTGAAAGAATAGTATATACTCAAATAAATCAAACGAATTATAACATGGATTGTTCTAAAATTTTGACTAAAATTAACATAATGCAACATTTAAAATTTATAAATACAAGTCGTTTCTCGATAGTTTGGAGATCATAAGGACTTTTCAACTTTACATATCCTCCAATTGATAGCATATCCTCCAAAGCTCTAAAATGAGAGATGTGTTTTAATGAACTTTACATATTTCTTTATGTGAAATGTCTCAACTAAGAAATAGGAAAGACTTTAAGTAAATGGAGGTAATGAGGGTTGGGAAGGAGAAAAGGCAACAACTATGGAAATGAGAAAAGCTTTACTTTAGTGGAGTTAATGAGGATTGGGAATGAAAAAATGTGGCAACTAGGGAATAAGAAATGCTTTTATTAAAAGGAATTAATAAGGGTTGAGAAGGGGTAAAGGCAAGAAATATGGGAATGGGAAAAGCTTTAATTAAATGGAGTTAATGAGGATTGGGAAGGGGAAAAGGTGGAGGGAATACCAAAAGGCAGAGCGGAAGGCTGGCCGGCCAAGGAAAAAACGTAAGGAGTTTTGGTCGCCTGTTCGGAAGTGGGAGGTAGGCGCAGTGTGGATGGGAAGGAAAGGGGTTGATCAACTGTTTAAAGGGTGGGAAGGCTTGATGGCTACTTGGGAAGGGATGCAATGTTCTGTTGAATGTTTGGAAGGATTGGAGTGCTCGATGGGCTATTTGTAAGGATTGGAGAGCTCAGTGGGCTGTTTAGAAGGATGATGGGGGTGAAGAGGAGATAGGATATAGGCAAGAACTTTGCCACAATGATGATTGTTGAGCGTTGCTTTGCCCTACTATTAGGGACTTCACTCCTCTCTCAAGAAGACTCATACACACATATAACTCAGAAAAATTGAAATTTCATTCTCAATAAATGGAGTTGGAATCGAATGTGCAATTATTGGAGATATATAGCTTCTCTCGAGTGAACCTGACCAAAGATAATGGGAAAAAAAATAAATATTTGTAGTTAATATTGAATTGCTGGTTTGTAGCTAAAAAATGGCCAACAAACATTATCTATAAATAGAACATGATGCATATTAGAATTGTTTCTTTAAATAGGTTTATGATAAATTCTAAATTTAAAAGTAATAAAATAAGCATTTTGATTTTCATAATTTAAATTAAATGTTACTCATGTCTTAAAATTTAATATTTAATTTTATATTAAAATTTATCTTTTATTACATACATTTTTTTAGGAGATCAAAAGAGACTAATTGTGTAAAAAATTTACAGCTTTACATATCCTCCAAAGCTCTAAAACATGTTGAATCATGTTTTCCTTCTAAAAAAAATGCAATGTCTCTCCTTTTAGAAAGAACAACCAATTGGCTACCAACTCCAAATTGTTCTTCATTTGAAAAATGATTTTGATTCAACTTGCTAACTAGATTTCACAAAATGTCTTAACAATAATCTAGCATAACTAATATATTTCCTTAAAAAACAGAATGGCGAAAGAGAAAAAATAACATATTTATGCAAAAAATGCTACTAAATATTACCAAAAAAATGCATATCCAATATTTTAAAAAAACTTATAATACAAAAACATTCTTGTTACATGCTTCTTAAAATATTAACATATCCAATTTATTAAAGTGATGGTGTGAACCATATTGAAGGGGGCCAGTTAGGCTGTGAATTAGAATCAAGGAAATATTGGAAGCAATCATTATGAAGATCATAAAGTCCAGCATCACGAGTAGCATCATCTTGTGTCATGATGTCCGCATGATCGGCAAAGTATATGCAGTTTGGTCTAATTCCAAGAGCTACTGTGTGATGTAATGAAATTGTTTGGTTGTAACCTATAAACAAAGAGAAATCCCCCAAGTCTGTCATGGAGATCCATTGAGAGGAAGAACAAGAAGAAGCATTAATAGCCGGCACAAACTTAAAGACAGAGATTTTGGTTGTCTTCTTTGTATATCTTTCATCAACCTCCATACCACTGATCTCCCTCTTAATTTTTAGAAGAGTTCCTGATAAAAATGCAATGTAGTTCCTGCAATAAGAGTCAGTGGAATATGGATCTTGTATTGCTTGGCAAACAAATTTAACATTTTTTCCTTCAAGGTCAAATGCCAATACTGCTGAGAAATGTGTGATTGCATAGAACATTTGCTCTTCTTCATGAAAGTAAACATCTTCAAACTCTTCAAATTGGTCAACGTGGTAAGGAGGCAGTTGTGGCCCGAGAACCCAAGCATGGTCACCAGGCCTTGCCAAAGCTAGTAATTTTATAAAGCCGTAAATAACAACAATGGTACCGAATGGGTCGCTAGAGGAAATGGCAATCTTCTGGAAATATAGATCACGGAAACTTTCTGCATCAATGACATATGATGGATGCTTTTCATCATAATAATACTTGATATGACCATCGAGGTCGTATTCGGGTTTGATCCTTTGCCGTTGATCTTCGGGGATGGTGAAGAGGGATGGAAGTGATATTTCAGCTTTTGTTAGAGGATTGAAGAGGCAAGGTTGCAAATAAGTTAGGTCAAGGGTCACGAGCCATCCATCCTTGGAGCCATAGCAGCGACGGCCAGAGATGTGGTTACCAATGCAGGAGAAGCAACGATTGCAGCCGATGCCGCCTTCTTCTTTTTTGGTGGTAAGATCGCAGAAAGTAAGTGTGTCAGAGGCCTCTCCGGCATTGTTGGGAAGAAGCAACCATGGGGATGGAGTACGTTGAATTCTAAAGAGATCATTCTTGGCAAGAGCGAAATTCCACGATGTGCATGTGGCAGCGAATCGGAGGTAGTCTACAATGGGAAAGTGCGATGAGAGGCAATGGAGGAGATCTATGGGGAGATCAGACCATGCCATATTATATGTTATGAAATGGAAAGGGAAGAAAGAAGAGGCCAGCCTCCTTGCACTGCATTGCTTAAACAAAAATAAATAGAGTTGGAATTAAATGTCCAATCTCTGGAGATATATAGCCTGGCTCTCGAGTGGACCTGGCCAAAAAAGTGGGAATACCAAAGATGGTGGGAATAAAATAAGCATTTCTTGTTAATATTCAACTGCGTTTGTGGCTAAAAAAAATGGCCAACTACCATTATCTATAAATAGAATAAGATGCATATTAGAATTGTTTCTTTAAATAGGTTTATGATAAATTTTAAATTTAAAAGTTTTAAAATAAGCATTTTGATTTTCATAATTTAAATTAAATGTTACTCATCTCTTAAAATTTAATAAATTATTTTGTATTAAAATTAACCTTTTAATCCCAACAGTTTGTTAGGAGATCTAAAGATACTTTTTGCATAAAAAATTAACATCATTTCAAAAGATCTTGAATCAGTTATTCTTAAATATATAAATTTAGATTAAGTTAAATTAATAAAAAATGGGCTAAGTTGCTCCTCACTAGAAATTATTCATTCTAATTAATATTTTCATAATTAAGCTAGAAAAAATTATTCTAAGCAAATGAATTTATACTTGGTGAGAATTAAATGTTTTGGGGATTCTATGGGATCTGAGAGGTAGAAGATGAAAGCTTTCAGCTGATTGTGTTGAATGTCTTGAATATTTTGATTGCTTTATTCATTGATGGAATCAATATTTGTGGAATTGGGAATTATTAATAGAACATTTAATGAATTATTAATATATATATATTAGATGCACAAAGCAAAAAAAGAAGAACAACTTTCACAAGTGAAAAGTAAAGTTAATCTTGTGGATGTTGTTGACCTCATTATTGGAGGTCAATTTCCTCGGAATCAATATCTAGCTCTTAGGTTTTCGTAACCTAGCGTAGACGTCCCCCCATAGGATTTCTCTTAAGTGGATGCCTAATGATGTAGCATTGACTCAACTATATAATTTGACTCAAATCGAATTAACTCATTTGAAATTAATTAAAATTAAAAGTCATTCAAATTTAACATTAATAAAACCTAATTTAATCAAAATGAGATTAATCCAATAAAAAAATACTCAATTTCAACTCAATTCGATTTAAAACGGTATTGATCAGCTCGGTTTAACTCAATTCAGTTTAATCTAAATCAAATTGATATCATTTAGCCTGAGTCGATTCAACTAATTAAACCCAAAATCCACATATAATAAAATCCGGTTAATTCAACTTCATTTTAATCAAACCCATCTTTAGATCCCTCCTAAATTCAGTCATTTAATCTAAAACCTTTAATTTTAAAATAACGAGTAAGGGTAGGATGGTAACCTTGCTAAATAGAAGCATTAGGGGCTAAGTAGTGGTTTGGGCTAAACTTGAAGTGCAGTTAGAGCCGGTTCAAACAAAGCCCCCAGGTCTCCTCTCCCTCATATTTCGGACGAACCGTTCCCCCCTCATATTTCGGACGAAACGTTCCCCAGCCCTTATTTCGCGAACGGCCCCCGAACTCCCTCTTCGTCTCCTGATTCGCACGCACACAGAACGCTCTCGCCTCTTCCCAGTTCGCGAAACCCCAAGGTTCCGCCTCCCTCTCTGTTCGCAAGGAAGCCCTCATCCGCCTCCTCCCTTCCGTTCGTTACACTCGGGGAAATCCACCAGCAAGCCCTAGCACGACGACCCACTACCTTAGCCGCCACCGACTACGCCGACCCTGCCATTCCAGATTTAGGTAATCTCCTTTCTTTTATCCTTCTTCCTCTTCCTTCATTTCTTCTTCTCAACATTCTTCTTCCTTTCTATATTACATTTCATTCATATCCTCCTCTATGGATTCTTGATAAAATGAAAATGAGATGCGCCTTGATTATTTTCTTTAAAGTAAATTAGAGAAAACAGGTTTTATTTCTTGTTAACCTAAAACAATAATTCAATCTACATTTCCTCCCCTTAAGATGAGTTTTATATAGTTCAAATTTCTGATAGGATTAGTAAAAAGCGTATGGATCATCTCCTCTTAATTTAAATAGTTTTATTCTTAACACAAATAATTTTGGGTTGAGGAGTTTGATTGCTACATTGTCTTACTTTGTTTACTTTAATGGTCACATTATTTTCCAATACTTGTAATAATCTCTTCTTGACAGCAAGAGAGGCAATGAAAGTTGGAATGATTATTTTCTTGCTTGTAATTTGGTTGGTCTTCACGAAAAATTTCTTTGATTTGTTCGAGCTTTGCCGATGATTAATTTCAAGATCTACTTTCTTATATTTTTGTGTATTCTCTTTGGTGGCGGAGCAAGTAATTAATGTTATGCTTATGTCTTTAGCTTTTCGAGAGTCATGATAGTAAATTGATAAAGTTTGTTGACTTTATTTACAATCGGGTTGAAGATACATCATAACCATTGAAAAGAAACACAAAATTTGCACTGGAATTTATGCTTCCCTTGCATTTATTAGAGTTTCTTCGCCAAGCTTAGTGCTGAAGTGTAGTGGCTGAATTTCAAATTCATATCTCTATATTATGTTTGCGAAATTTTGCTTTAAGTCAAGAATATTGTGGCACTTTAGATCATGATTGTGTTCAGCAATTTTATCTTAAGAATGTTCACAGTTTGATTTTTTATATATACAAGAATAAAGGAATATGTTATTACTGTTATATCTCTTTCATTGCCCTTTAAACATTAAAAAAAAAAAAATCTGAATGTAGGGATAAAGTGTGTTTTGAACTTATCTTGTTGAAAGAAAATGGATGAGGATTGGTGAGGAGTAGTTTTCTTTTCCGTAAGTTGGTGATGTTTTTAAATTCTTAAGCAACTAGAGGTTATTGGAAAGTTGCAAGTGTGTGATGGAAAGTGGGCTCGTGTGTTTTAGAAAGTGGTGTTGTAGAGTTTGCCTGTATTTGAACTCGTATGTGTTTTAAAAAACAAAATAAAGTGTTTTGAGAAAGGTGAAGTGTATGTTGGAATGGTAAAGTGCGTGAAAATGAAAAGTAAAATTTGGATTGTTGAAAAACAAAGTGTGTGTATGTGATAAGTTGGAGTGTGTGTTGAAAAGGTGAAATTTGTGTGTATTGAAAGGTGCGTTGAATATTGAATGGAATAAAAGTGCTTTGAAAAGGAAAAGTCCATAGTATGATTTTGGGAAGGGTGAAGTGTGCAAGTGTGAGAGGTAAAATGTTTGTTTTATGGAAATTTTGTGAGTTTTGGAAGAGTAAAAAAGGTATGTTTTGAAGGAAATGTGGAAATTTAAATAAAGTCGTCCCCCCCCCCCCCCAAAAAAAAAAAAAAACTATATGTTTTAAATTAAATTGCAATTTTCAATTAGTTATCATTTAAATAATAACTGACAGTCAATGTTTTCTCCCTTTTGTTATGTTTTGCAAGGAGCTGCTTCTGAAGCATTTGAACAAGTAGTTGTGGGAGGCACCTAGATGAGGGATTTGGATAACAAGCATAAACTTCAGTTGCCCCATTTCTTCAAATGAGAGTGCTACGGCTAGAACCACTGTTAACTTGCTCTGGTGACGTAAGCATTCTTAAACATCGAAAGCCTCAAGTCTTTGAACCATTTAATGTGTGCTATCCCTGCCTTAGGGTCTTGTAGTTACCCCTTGCATGTCATTTATATTTATTTTTGTTAACCCAAAACCCATCGTGATGACCACTTTAATGTTAAGAACGCTAGAATTGATTAACTACTCTTAGTCTATCTCCCACTAGACCAGTAGGTTATAAATCATTTAGGATTTATTTGATTTGATAATTCAAAATGATAATCTAATAAAATTACAAGACCCATAAACAAATAAAATAATAATAATAAACAATTCACCCATTTAAATAAAGAATAGATAAAAATAAGAAATCTAATAATAGCCAAATCAACATTAAACAAATGAAATAACATACATAATTCAGGATAAAATTCAAATGAAATTTATTTTTAATGTAATATTTAAATTAAATCTAAACTTAATTGCTTCATAAAATAAATTAAATATGTAAGAACAAAATAATAATAAATTTTTGCATAACATAAATATTAATTAAATATATTATTAAATAATATAATAAATGTTTTGTTATATATATATATATATATATTATTATTATATAATATATATATATATATAATATATATATATATATATATATATATATATATATATATAATATTGAATAATTAACATTCAATCATCAAATAAAAATTTAAAAGTCAAGTCAAAACTCAATTGATAAGCAAGAAATATATCTAATCACTAAAAATTCAATAATTAATCATTTTAATAAACAAAAATAATAACAATAACAATTAAATATAAATAATGCAATTGTAACTCTATCAATGAATGTTTTAGGCTAGACAACATCGAGCTGCGAGGCTACGTGTAAGGAGTCCTTTGTTCTCGTGCCCATTCTGATAATGCAATGAATAAATTGAAGGAATATAATATTAAATTATAAAATTTTCAAATTAATTATAAATAAAATGAATTAATCAATGATAAAAAAGGCCTAGATATTCAAACCAATCACTAATTAAACATCCAAATATCCAATCATTGATTAAATAATAATAATAATTAATTTCAATAAATAAATCTATCCTGAAATAAATTGTAAAACATAAAAAAACACTAAGATTTAAACTTAAATCAATATTCCCTTGACTTTCAAATGATCCTGTTCACTTAATAAAAAATTGCAATTAATAAATAAGCACGGGATATTACCAAACCACATAGCTTGCTACATATACTTAGATTTGCTTGTTATGTCACAAACTCCAACTTTAGGTTAGGTCGATGTTTCTTTCTATTTTTGAGATGTGTTAATATGCATTTAAATGAGTGTTGTTTGTTGTAGCCTTTTGTAGTAGATTTGTATGATGATGTTTTAATGTTTTCTTTGTGATATGTGTTAGATGTTTAGATTACTTTAGTTTAGGA